TAATAGAAGAAAGATTAGCAAAATGTCTGCATTTTCAGGTAAGGAACAGGATGCTGTAGAGGAGCAACCATTTTCATCTAGCATTGAGAGTGAGACCCTGCCCAAGAGCTATGAATAGCTGGAGAGAGAAGCAGTGGGGCTCGCTCTCACAACGCTGGAGTTTATGCAAAGTGGGCCTGGGAGCAGGATAAGTTCACAGTGCTCAGAGCAGGGAGTGGGTGGGAGCTGGGCCTGGCCGGAGGAGAGAGGCCCACCAGGTGCAGGGCATGGCAGCCTTTTTCCGGGTTATAAAACATCTCTTTTTCCAGGTTATAAAACAACCTGGGAACCAAGGGTCTGCTGCAGTCTAGGAGTTAAGCAAGGCTGTGTTAATGACAGGTCAGGCCTCCCTGAACCTTCACTGAAAACTTTGTTAACCCAGGTTGACTGGATCAGTGACTATCATTAACTTCTCTACAGGAGTTTTAAAAAAAGAGACTCATTATATGCCTTATTCAAAAAGAAATCTTGATATACGTATATTCTTATTTTTACCAGAGCTTGATGGGTTAAGAGAGAAAGAGTTAAAAGAGAGAGAGGAGATCCATGTGCTACCCAGTGTGTTCCCAGAGACTCATCCACATCCCAAGAAGTGGGGCAGGAGGTCACTCTCATTATTCAGTTCCTATTATAAATTTTATATACAATATCTCATTTAACTTTCTCAACAGCCCTCAAAAATAGATATAACTCTCCCTATTTTGAAAGGAGAAACTCGAGCTCAGAATTTAGAAAGCCTACTGAGTCTATGAACCTCATAATGGCAGAAGTTGTGATTTATCTCAGTCTCCCTTCTCTCTGACAAGAAACAGTAATTAGGACCACCCAGGGACCAAGAGTAACTCTAATTTACTACTGGAATTTCACCATTTGTATTCCTTTCAAAACAAGCCCATTTTCTAGTTGAGGAAAATACAGTTATACTAGTCCTCAACTCACTCAAGTTTTTAGGTTATCAAAGTTGAGAAAGAAACACGTTTATTATTATTATTTTCTCCAATCAAGCTCCTGAAAAGTTGCTAACAGAAAGGAACTCAAGATTCAGATGTCCCCCTCTCACCCTTCCCTTCCAAATTTAGTTGGTTAATGGAGTCTGAATGGGAAAATATGAAACAATTTCTCAGACAGAAGCAGAGCCAGCTTACAGGGTGGAGTGGAAAAGCTCTGAACCTGCAATCAGAAGGAGTTCAGGTTGACCCAACAGGCACTGGACACTCATATTTGGCTCAGAATAAATCTTGAAATACTTTACAGTTTGACTGTTTTCACTAACATTGGCAGTTACTGATTCTATGATAGGAATACAAGGAAGGTAGTGATACTTTTGTGTTATTTTATACGCTAGAAATTTATATAAGGGGATAAAATGTATATCAGAAAGTGAACGTAAAGTTAAAATGCATACCACACATGAGAGGTGGAAGACAGTGGATTATAACAAATAACCCATTAAAGACTGAGTATATTAATTCCATGATTATTTTATTGTGCACCTACTAAGTGCCAGGTGCTGTGTGAGGTTCTGAGGGTAGACAGTGAACAAGACAGACTCAGTTCCTGCTCTCGAGTAGCCTACATATCTATAAGAATGGAGACAATAAACAGGTGATTAAAATTAAGAGCTTCCAGGAGAACTACCAAGCATTTCCCAGTGTTACCAGGCCATCCTTCCAGGGTTTGAGCAGGAAATGCTGAGAGGTGTCTGTGGGACTCCACTAAGCGTTGCCCTCTAGATGTGTCACTGAGAAAAACACTTCCCAGTCCAGACCAGAGTCCCTCAGTAACTGCCTGAGGGTTTTCCTCGGGGGTAAGTCTTGGACAAACTCAGGAGATCTTGTCCCTCAGGTGGCAGCTGAAAAGGAGGGTTTCAGGTGAGGTGGCATCCTGTGAAGGGAACTTCTAGCGCGCCCCTTCAGCCTCACAGCGCCGTGTGGACCTGAACCTCGGGACGGCACTTTCTCCATTGCTTCACGTGAGCTTGAGACTTTAGCCTCACCCTTTCTCAATCCTATGAAGAAATAAGCCCCAAAATCCGAACACTATCATTCCAGGTTGTTTTCTTTGTACAAATGAATACCCTGTTTCACTGTCACCCAGACCTCAGCTCTGTAGCTCAGGGATGTGTTCAGAGCCCGGGCAGGAAGAGTTCAGCAGGAGGGAGGGAGGGGCAAGGCTGGGAGGAACCCAGGCTCCCTGGTCTCCATCCAGCCTGACTGAAGGCAGGGGCAGGGCTGACTTGCAGCCCTTGCTTGGGCTTCTGGGGTCTCAGTGCCCTAGGTTGATGATCACAACCCAGTCCTCAGCCTCAGAAGCACATCCCACTTGCCAATCCCACCCCACCTCGGCCACCCTCCTGGCAGGACCATCTGCCGTTCTTTAGATTTTTCCTGAACTGGAAGCTTTATTAATTGCTGGCACACACCCCTCATGATCTCTAGATCCTGGTCCCGTGTGATCATAGATCCACAACAAACTCTGTTCCATGTAGCAAGCTAGAAACCCCAACATTCCTGACCTATCACCGTAAAGAACTCCATTAAACTGTAAGTAACCACTGCAAACACCACTACCATTAATTACTTGATGTATGTGGGTCAGGGCCTGTATCTTGCATTTTGAAAACATTACAATATTCTGTTTAAGGCTTAAAGATGTTAAATGATGATTCCCAGATCACACAGCTATTTTGAAGCAGAGTCAAGATTGGAACCAGATCATATCAACAGTGAAATACAGGAAATCTTGATAAGTGTCTACTTTTATTTTTATTTTTATAAATTCTGCCCATTAAGTCAACTGCATTGTTATGCAATAACTGGGTTTCATATTTGTATTAAATACCTGCATCCACTCAGAGCTTCTGATCAGATTGAGACAGTCTTATTGCTGGCTGCCATTCCAACCAACGTGACTGCTCTCAGGACAAGGTGTGATTTATTTCAAAGTTTAAATCACTGGATCTAGATCAACAATAGAGTATATTTTCATCAATATTAGATTGATTTAATTTTTTAATGATGATATGAAATACCAGCCATCTCTCAGAATCCTAATAGTGTGTATTTAATGAGCACTTACTATACACTTGCTACTTTTCTGAGTGCTTTGCATGACTTTTAATTTAATCTTCATACCAATCTATAACACAGGTACCACAAGTATACCCACTTCATAGGTTAGATACTAAGACACAGAGAGATTCAACAACGTGTCCAAAGTCAAGAAGCCAGGACATGACAACAGTGATATTAAACCCACACAGGCATGTCACAAGCCAGAGATTTTCATTAAAAATAATGTTGCTGTGGGGACTTTAATTCCTTCCTAAAATTGAGAATTCTATTCTATTGTGTCCCATATACTCCAGGAGGGGAAATTGTAATAGCAAGAGTTATAACTGTGCAACAGTTATGACCTTAAGATTTCACCCTTAGCAGGACTCCTACAAACTGAGCTGATGTAAATTACAGCAGAAGGCCCTTGGTGACAGAATCTTTGGTGGCCATTGGCCCATGGCATACTCATGCTGGGGACACAAAGGTTGTGTGTGGTCTGATCTCACTCAGAGACACATGCTTTCCTAAGATATGACAACACCATAATTAGAAGAACTGCATGATCCTTTAACTCCAGTGGCATCCCTTCTCAAATCATGACCTAATCAGGGACATGGGAGTGATCAAGGTGGAAGTAAAGTGAACTAGAAGATTGAGCGACTATGTGCTGTGATCCATGCCCTTTCCTTGATGATCTAGTGTGGATTTCAAAATGGCCACCACCAGCCTCCTCTGTGTGCTCTACCAAGCTCAGAAATCTTATATTTTCCCAATTATGTACCAGACAGAAGCCATCAAGGTTAAAAGTCTACAGTGCTATGGAATGAATTAACAAGAGCCCATTTACTGTTTCTGCTTCTAGTTTGAAGAGAAATTTCTGGAATCTGCATAAGATTTGGAAAAGTTAAGAAATAGTAAGATCAAGTCCCTATGTGCCTCTGAGGAGGGTATCTAGTAGAAGGTACACAGGGAGGTTTGAAGAGCTGGGAATGCTTATGTGTATAGTGGTGTAGTTGGTGATGATGGAGAGGGAGAAAATCGTAAAATGGAAAGGATGGGCTCCTAGAGTAAGTCTGGCAATGCTTTCCAGGCTAAAAAGGGCCAGACTTCTATTTGTATTTGCTGGAGAACCATCTCCAACACCCTGAGGATCCCTTTTCTTGCTTTCCTGCTTTTGGCACCATGAGTGAGCTGTGGTCCTCAGCTGAGGATCCCATACAGCCTACCCCATCCAAAGACACGCAAGGACATGTTTTAGACAAAAGGAGTTGAAATAGGTTCATTTTGAATTTGTTTCTCTTATGAGTTTGACAAAGTGATATCTTTGCATTGTTGTACACTTAGATAACAACACAGTGTTGAATTGGCTGGAAGTCTAGGTCAGAGGATGAGGAGGGACATGAGCCAGGGTAGCAGCCATGGGGTAAGAAACACAGAGTCTGCCCTGCACACACTGTCTAATGGGGGTATTGAAGAGCACACAAAGGGCCTACCTAGAAACTTCTCTCAGAACTGTATTTAATGTCTTCAACAGCATGAGACTTACTTTGAGAAATTCCCCTGTTAAATGGCATCTGGCTGGTGGCCCTGTTGCAGTCTCTCGCAACTTCTTCCTAAGATATCATGAAGATAAATCAACACAGACAATACAAGGGAACTATTTTGTAGCTGAATTGGGAATAAAAACATAAATGAAATAACAGGATAAAAGGTTAAAGAAAGCTTGATAAGAAAAAGCATTTCCAGAAGCTAAAAACAAATTCCTATTTCATTTGAACAGTTACCAGGCAATAATTATTTTTCATTTTATACATTAGTCATTTCCACAACCACTCTTTCATCCTGAAAGGGTGGGATTCATAGAAATATCACTCTGCCTTTTTTTTTTTTTTCTATTTAGTAAAGATGGGAGTATGTTTTTCCAACAAGTGCCAATGGTTGAGATTGACGGGATGAAGCTGGTGCAGACCGGAGCCATTCTCAACTACATTGCCAGCAAATACAACATCCATCAGAAAGACACAAAGGAGAGAACCCCATATAGTATATTTTCTGCTCTTCCACCAACAGAGAACATAGGAGCGATTTAGGTCCTTCCATGAGTGGGTGGGACCGTGGAAGGAGCATCATGACTAGCAGCATGCTGGGCCTTGGGCGTGTATGCTGGGTCCAGTATTGCAGAGTCCCATGGAGATGAGGAAACAGTGAACATGGGGAGGGTTCAGGCGAGGGTGATTCTAGAAGAGGATGCAGTTCATGGATCCAGCACCCTGACAGAAGTTTCCACACACGGATGAACCGTGAACTCAGGAGGATGAGGAATCATGATTCCAGGTACTCAGGCCTTCAGAGGCTGGACTCCAACAAACAGCTTAGGACAAGGCATAGAATGTTTGAGAGTCTGTAGACGAAAGACTGGGGAGGGAAGGCTGCAAAAGAGCTGAATCTCAGGTTCCACTAATTCCAAGAATAATGACCAGGAACCTAAGTTTCCAGTCAGTTATATGAACTGGTCAACTTGACTAAGGTTAGAGAGGCTGGTGCTCTAGATACTAGACTTACCTAAAGTGAAGTATTTGATACAGACCTGAGCAACCAGACTGATTTTGCATCAACAAAGCTGGGAGGAGGGGTCTCCTCCCTTATTGGCAGTTCCTTGAAAAGTCCAATATAGAGTTACCAATGACCTAGCAATTCTACTACCAGGTCTACATCCAGGAGAAAGGAAAACACATCCTCACTAATCCATGCACAGAAATGTTTATAGGAGAATTATTCATCATATGCAAAAGGTGGAAACAACCCAAATGTCCACCCATGGAAGAATGGAGGAACAAGATGTGCTGTAGCAGACAATGGAATATTCTTGGGCTATGAAAAGAGATGAAGTACTGATGCATGCTCCAGCATTGGTAAGCCTTGAAAACATGTGCTGTAAAAGAAACCAGACACCAAAGGCCACATGTGACATGAATTCTTTTGTATGAACCATCCAGATCATTTGAGTCCAGAAAGGAAATCAGTTGTTGACAGGGGCTGGAGAAAGGGGACAATGGGGAATGGCTGCCAAAGCATGTGCTACTGCCTTCCCAGGTGATAAAAATGTTCTGGAATTAGACAGTGATAGTATTTGCAGAATTCTGTAAATGTACTAAAAATTACTGAATAATATTCTATAAAAGGGTAGCAATTATGGTATGTGAATACATGTCAATAAAACTGTTATTTAAAAGTATTCGCCAGGTACGGTGGCTCACGTTGTAATCCCAGCACTTTGGGAGGCCGAGGTAGGCAGATCACCTGAGGTCGGGAGTTCAAGACCAGCCTGGTCAACATGGGGAAACCCCATCTCTACTCAAAATACAAAAATTAGCCAGGCATAGTGGCAGGTGTCTGTAATCCCAGCTACTTGGGAGGCTGAGGCAGGAGAATCTCTTGAATCTGGGAGGTGGAGGTTGCAGTGAGCCAAGCTCATACCACTGCACTCCAGCCTGGGCGACAGAGCACGACTCTGTCTCAGAGAAAAATAAAATACAGGGCCAGGCACAGTGGCTCATGCCTGTAATCCCAGCACTTTGGGAGGTTGAGGTACATGGATCACGAGGTCAAGAGATCAAGACCATCCTGGCCATCATGGTGAAACCCAGTCTCTACTAAAAATACAAAAATTAGCCGGATGTGGTGGCGTGCACCTATAGTCCTAGCTATTCGGGAAGCTGAGGCAGGAGAATCACTTGAACCCAGGAAGCAGAGGTTGCAGTGAACCGAGATCGCCCCACTGCACTCTGACCTGGTGACAGAGCAAGACTCTGTCTCCAAAAAAACAAAACAAAACAAAACAAAACAAAACAACCAACAAGCAAACAAACAAACAAATAAAAGTTTTGTAGGAAACACAGTTTGAAATGAGAAGAAAGAAGATATCCTATAGTATGCACTGGTTTTAGATGAATAATTTTACCATGTTTACCAATTTTATCATGTAAATAATTTTCTCATGTTACCATGGGAATATCAGGTGAGGTCTTGAAACACAGTCATGACTAGAATTGGCCAACATTATGCGCAGAAGGTAATGGGACAATGTTTTATGGAAAATAATTGAGAGAACTTCTTTTTTTTAAATTTCCTTGAAATAATATAGTTTTTAGACATACCTTATTTCCTAGTTTTTCATTTATTTATTTTAATTTTTTCTATTTTAAGAACTTCAAATATTGGGCATAAAAACAAGCCTAGGATGTGTAGTATGAGGAGAGAGGAAAACGGACACGTTCAAGATGGCTGTGCTGGGGAGGCTGTCAAATTGCAGGTCTTCAGCCATATGAATCATGCTAAACTTATGTATAGAACAAACCACAGCAGAGTGAGCAAACCTTATTTGTAGCATCAGTAGTTATGTGCAGTGATTCCACTAATTTCTCATGACTGTGACATTGGACAGGTCACTGATGTTTCTTGTACCTGTATTTGGTCATGTATATAACAAACATTTTAGATCTAGATCTACCACAGTAGAGTGTTCTGAGAAATAAATGTAAATATATTTGTAAAAATCATAGCCTAATGACTGGTATTTGAAAGGCACCCAGTGGAGCTGAATTACTTTGCTATCACCTAATGCTCCATTGTCTCAAGTGTTTAAACCATAAAATCTAAGGCAGAAGGCACTTAGCAGTTAGGTTATTTTCGTCTTACAGGGTCGATATGTATATAGAAGGTAGGGCAGGTTTGAGTGAAAAGCTTCTTCATTACTCATCGCATACACCTGAGGAAAAAGAAACAAAGCTTGACCTGATCAAAGGGGGAACAACAAGCCATTATTTTCCTGCCTTTGAAACTGTACCTGGGAGCTTCTGGATAGCTGAACACATGGAACTTCTTGGAGGGTGGACTGTCCAGGGAAGGCATGGAAGCTCCATGCCACTTCCCCTGATCTCGCCCTAGGCATTTCTTCAGCTTTTCAGTGGCTACATGATTTGAGCCTCAAAACTACAATAGAGAATTATTCAGTGAGCAGTATGGATTGCCACCTAACAAGGATACAGTAAACCTAAAGTCACAGTCACGACTCTGCCCCAAGTGGAAACTGTGATGTTTCTGTCTGGATCACTGCCAAGTTTGTAAAACAACAGGAACCAAAAATCAAGAGAGAAGAACTTTATTCAGTTTTAGGGGTGACCCATAGCAAAGTTTGTACGAATGGAAAGAGGTCCAGTGAGAACCTCAAACTTAATGTACTGTGAGGCTATCTTGAAAAACAGGCTTCTGGGCCTCTGCTCTTATGCTGCTTCTTTTATGACAACACCTTTAGATTGCACGACAAAAAACAGTAACACGAAAGACTACAAAAGAAATCAAAAGAAAGTCCTGATTCTACAAAGGAGGCTAAGCAGATGAGAACCAATACCAAAACCAAGGGCCAACCTGAGAATAAAAAGTCAAAGAGCTCACTGCAAAGAGAAGAGATTTCAGTCCAGGTGCTGACTTGCCACAAGGCATGAAGAGCCTTTGTGGATACTGCACTGGTTGACGGCTGGGGTCCTTGGCAACGGGTAACATAGACCATGCCTTGTTGGAACCTCCAGAAAAACTGTGGAAGCCAAGACAGTTGAAATGAGAATAAGCAAAGGGTGTTTATACAGAGCTTGCTATAGAAAGGAAGTCAGCCACCATCAGTTGCATTTGTCAGAGATTCAGAGGTAGGCAGGAAAGTCTGAGAGATGTATGGTAGAAAAAGTTATGCCCTGATTGCAGGTTGCTGGCCTAGGGATGCTGTAAGCTGGCTAACTAGAAGCATGGATTTCTATGTGATTGGTTGGAGATTCATATTTTGCTTTCTGTGGTTGGTCATAAATTGAAAATAGAGGCAAAAATTAGGGAAGTTGGCAGTTATTGACCAAATGCTGGTGTATTTGACTAACTGTTGTAAAGGTCATGACAGAAGCTGTTTAGTCTATAAGGGCGCTAAGAGTTTAGAGGGTTTCTTAGCAATTCGGCTGCTGTAACAAAATACCATAGACTAGGTAAAGAACAGATGTTTCTGTCTCACAGCTCTGTAGGCTGGGAAGTACAAGATCGATGCGCCAGCAGATTTCACAACTGGGGAGCGCCTGTTCCTTGATTCATAGACATCCAATCTCTGGCTGTGTCCTCACATGGCAAACATGCCAAGGGAGTTCTCTAAGGTCCCTTTCATAAGGGGACTAATGTCATTCATGAGAGCTCCACCCCCATGACTTGATCATCTCCTGAAAGCCCCACCTACTAATGGCTTGAAAGAATATATATTTTTAGGGATCTCTTCTAAAGACATGGCAGTCAGGATCTCAATGTATGAATTTTTGGGAAACATAAACATTCAGTCCATAACATAAGGCAACAGAAAAATAGTGCCTGGGAATTGGTGGGGCACTGACCTTCACGTCCAAAAGCCTTCCCTGATGTTAATGGAGCTCCTGACTCTCAAGGCATGGTATAAAAATAGACTGTGAATAAGAATTCTACCACTTCTACCAAAGAGCCCATGATATGTGCATTTGAACAATGTATATTACAATATAGCATTGAAGTTATTTTCTTTGTATACTGAGTAATTATCCATACTTTTGTATGTATACATAGTCTGAAAATATATTTGCCAAAATATTATCTTAAATCAATGGTGTCATATGATTTCTCCTTTTATTATATATGATGTTAATCTGCCGAGATATTTTAATAAATATTACATATCACTCAAAATTTTTATTATTAAAATATGTATACATCCAGTGTAGTCCAAAGAAATGTTTTATGAACTTACATACACCAAGGATCTAAATAGCAAAGTTAACATTTTATCTTTGCTTTATCACATGTCAGTCACTACACCCCTGTTTGCCTCAATCAATTTTTTTTTTTTTTTTTCCTGCATTTCAAAGTAAGTTGCAGACATCTTTGCAGTTCACTCCAGGACACAGTGGCGTGCAGATTATAGCATAGTGAAAGCAGTAAGAACCAACATTGCAAGAAAGAGGACGAATTAAAGTTCACCCAGACTTATTTCACATCCCAGAGCAGGAGATGAGGAGAGCAGATGAGGAGAAAAGAGGATTCTGAAAGAGTCTGCTCCTGAGAGAAGCATGCTGTCATGAAGGTGGAGTCGCTGTCCAAGAGGGACTGGAGAGAGAGAGAGTGTAAAGCCACTGAACACCAGGGCTGCATGCTGTAGGGCCTGGGGCAGACAGAACATGCTGCAAGATGGGATAAGCCCCTGGCCCATGTGGAAGATGCAAGCTGGGTGGGTGCTGTGGATGCCATAGCTGTTGTGGAATAAGAAGAGAAAATGGGAACCTGGACTCCAACCAAGAAGTGAGCGGAGCCACGCTTCTTACTCTCTCACTAAATCAGGGAACATGGAGAAAGATCTGGATCTTCGCACCTGCCCAGTAAGGAAGCAGAGGTGGGAGAGGGAGAGTCGGGTTGGACAAACTCAGGGAGAATCAGAGGCCCCAGCTTCACTGCACATATGTTCCTGACCTGATTCCTCCAATTCTTCAGGTGTTGAAGAGCCATGGACAAGAGTACCTCACTGGCAACAAGCTGAGCCGGGCTGATATTGACCTGATGGCACTTCTCTACCATGTGGAAGAACTTGACTCCAGTCTCACCTCCAGCTTCCCTCTGCTGAAGGTGACCCATTTCCCAGTCCTCAAGAGGCAGCTCCTCATGTCCCACCTTGGTATCTAGCATCTGGGCCCTTGGACTGGCCACATTCTGACCCCAGCCTTCTCCAGGCCTTCAGGGCCTCCCATGTCTCCAAAATGAGCTTCCAGGTCCTGATTCTGAGGCATGGAAATGCCTCCTTGTGATGCCAAGGAAATTTGATATGTGTACTACCCCAAGAAGAACATTTCACTTTATATAATGCCAAGGACCCAGAGCCCAGCATCTCTCCTCATCCCTTTATTTCACTGTGGTTTTTGCTGCTGAGTTCTCTGTGATGCCCTTTATCCCAATATGCCCTTGTCTTCCCACACCAAGCGTGTCTGAATAGGGCCTTTTCCATCTGGTTCCTTCATTGGGCTCTGGCTCCTGCTGCCACATCATTGTGTTCCTTGTGCACAGCTCTCCCAACAGGCTGCCCCCCAATGCTATATCTCTCTATGGGAAAACTGGTCCCATGGTTTGCTTTCATATTTTTTATTTTCATTTCTAACTCAATTTTCCCTTATCTTCACTTCTTCTGCTTAGAGACTGATCTGTGCTGATATCTCACAGGCACATGGTTCTTTCTTGTCTTCTACAAGAGCCATGAATATACAAGATTCAAGTGTAAGAAAGAGGGTAGGAAGACTGAACTGAATAAAGTCTTAAAGACATTGTTTGGGAAAATGCTAGTGAGCTGCATGTTCTTCCTCTTATCGTCATCTCTCACTTAGTGGCCATTTCTGCCTCCATACTGGTGCTGATAGAGGGAACTCAGTCGGTCTTTGTGTAGGAGGGACTCAGATTCCCTGGGTTGTGTTAATGGTGGTGTCAGCCCTTGGCTTCACTCTAAGGCTGTGCTTTGTGCATTGCGGGCCCTGAAAACCAGAATCAGCAAACTCCCCACAGTGAAGAAGTTTTTGCAGCCTGGCAGCCTGAGGAAGTTTCCCGTAGATGCAAAAGGCTTAGAAGCAGCAAAGAAGATTTTCAAGGTTTGATAAAGCAGGCATGGATGCCAAGAACATGCAATAAGAATATTCTAAAATTTTGCAACAATACATTGCTTTATCTAAATGTTGGTGGTGGCTATTGTGAAGTTAACAAACTTTTAAAAAATTATATGCTATTACATAGTAAAACATCCATGACCAGATTTAGTTAAAATCAATTTCTTTTCATTAGTATCTGATAGGAAATCAGATTTCCATTCTCCCCATAAATTTTCTTGGAATTAAAAATTTAGTAAAAAAGTAAAATGTAGACTATGTGAGTTGTTTGACTTGTTCAAGAATTGTCCTGTAACATTTGTCAAATGACCTATAAAAATGTCAGGTGTAGAAATTCACCTCTGACATTCTGCACAAGAAAACAATTACTATTCTGGGGAATGGCAAAATGAAATTTTCTTTTTTTCCTTGACATACATTTTATTTCTCATGAAAACACTTTTTCTTATGCATTTTCAAACAACCATTCTGTCTGCTGTGGATCCCTCAGTTTTCTAGGAGGTGAGGAAATACTGAAGAGCAAACAGACCCACTCTCTGCTCTCAGGCCACCCTGTTGTCCCTTACAGGCGTGTGTTCCTGGCGCATCCTCACTCTACTCCTCAAGGCTCTGTGGGGCCCCAGGCATGAGCCTTCCCTCAGTTCCTTCAGTGCCACTCAGGCCTGGGCTGTCAAGATACAGATGGTATACGTGAATTACACATAAGTAACTATATGCAACATCATTTTTCTCTGGTGCGTCATTGTGCCAACGTGCTTGGATTAGAAGTGATTTCCAGGAATCCTTTCCTGCGTCTTCTAGCTTCTGGGGGCTCTTGGTCTTTCTTGACTTTCATGGATCCTGACCACATCACTCTAATTTCTGCCTCTCTCTTCCAGCACGTCACCCTCTGTGTCTCGTGTCTTTTCTTCTGTCTGCGGTGAGGACAATTGTCAATGGATTCGGGGCCTTTCCAGATATACCAAGATGATCTCATCTCAAATTCTTTTACTTCATTACATCTGCAAAGAGTCTTTTTCCAAATTAGATCCAGTTCACAGGGTCTAGGGATTTCTATATGGACCTATCTTTCTTGGGGGCCAATATAACGCCCTGCATGTTATAGATGAAGAAAGATTATTTGCAACTGATGAATCCAGGTGATAGATACTTTCAGATTTGTTACGTTATGGGCAATTCGAGTGGCGTAAAGAGAAAAGCACATGCAAATAAGGTTCCCAGATTTGGCAGATAAAATACAGGACACTCACCTAAATGTGAATTTCAGATAAGCAATAAAGAATATTTCAGTATAATCAGGTTTCATACCATGTTTGGAAATAGCTATAACTAAAAAATTATTGATTATTTGCCTGAAATTCACATCGACATGGATGTCCTATATTTTATTTGTCAACCCAGTAAGTAAAGGGGGGCATCAGCTTGCCCTTCACAGACAAACCCCCCAGCTATGCTCACAATAGAGGTTTTTCAGTTGCCATAGTCTTTGCGTCCAACTCATGAAAACAAGTGTCTTAAAAAGCCAGTTTCTGCTGACTTGCAAAAAGAGCAAAATCTAGGTGGAATGTATTGTTTAAACTTTAATTGCCAACCTTGAAATGGAACATATTAACCAGTTTCTTCTGATAAGCAGATCACTTGCCTCACATCTTAGAATCCAGTAGGTGGCCCCTTGGTCATGAAATGTGTAGGAGTTGCTTTTCCATAACTTGACCCTTCTTTCAGTGGGAGGGAACTATTGAAAGGAACAACAAGCTTATAAATACATTAGGACCTGGAATTCAGTTGTCGAGCCACCACAGTAACAGCATTTAACAAAGTAAGTACTGATCTTATAAATCTCTCTACATTGCCTCAGACCCTCCTCTCTAGCCTCCTAGAAAAATATGCTTATGTGAGTCCTTAGCACAAGGAAAAGTCTGTTTTTACTCATATCGTGCCATCTTGGTGTGTTTGGGTGACAGTTCAAGAATTGTTTATTTCTTTTCTGTTGGATACATCTTTACAGAAGTATAAAAATGAAGAATTTAGAAAACCAGGGCCTCAGCATTTAATGGTATGGGAAACAATGACATGAGGAGAAAAAAAGAAATGGTAGCATTTTAAACAATCTGAGAATAATCAGTGCTGGAAGAAGTGGCAATGTATGCAAAAATTTCTTTCTCTGTATAAGTAATCAACACACAATTGTAAATTGTGACACTGTAATACTATATTGGCTGTGAAAATTTAAAACTAAGGTTTATTATAATTAGAGGAAATTAGTTTGAATGTCAGGGGAACTAGATTCTAGTTGAGGCTTTGCCACTAATTAGCTCGACGACAAGTCATATTCTGTCCCTGGAGTCCTACCAACTCCTGGCCAATCTGGAGGATAGCTAAGAAAGAGGCTCTGACTGTTGCTGCCCTTTGAACGGTGTAATTCTTTGTATGGAGATCTGACCTGCCCACTTTAGGATGTTTCTAGGCATCCCTGCCCTCTACCTACCTGATTTGTAGCCCCCTCTCCCTCCCTGCAGATGTGACAACCCAAAATATCTCTAGACCTTGCTCAATGTCCTCTGGAGCAGAGGAGCCAAATCCCCCTGGTTGAGAACCATGGGACTACATGACCTCATGGGGCTAAGCAGACTGTGTTACTGATGCGCCCCACTGCTTGGACGTTCACTGAAAACTTCCTGTTAATCCACATGGACTGATTAATGAATATTATTAACCTCTGTACAGGAGTTAAAAAGCAAAGAGAGAGAGAGAGAAACAGAGAGCCATCATATGACAAATTTCATGTAAGTCTGGATTCATATGAAATCTTATTCCTACTAGAGTTCTATGGACAAAATATAGAGAACCAGAGAAATGGATACAAGATAGATAATAGATGATGAAGAGACAGATTACAGATAGATAGATAAATAGAACAAAACAATACATACATGGATGGGTAGACAGAGATTATAAATAGATACATATACATAGATTGTTGATAGGTAAGATAATTGATGGAAAGATAGATCAAAGAAATAGGATCCATGGGCTACTCAATGTGTCCAGAGACTCACCCATCTTCCAAGCACTGGAACCAGAGCAAACACCCATTGCTGAGTTCCTACTATGAATTTTTGTACATTATCTCATTTAACTTTCTCAACAATCCGCAAAAGTAGAAATAACTAACTCGATTCTAAGGAGAGAAAATTGAGGCTCAGAGATTAAACAACCTACTGCGTTTATGAATCTCATAATGGGAGGAGTCGTGATTTATCTCATTCTCCCTTCTCTCTGATAAGAAACAGTATCATTGGGACCAACTCAGAGATGGAACTCCTTTAATTTACTCCTGGAATTATGAGAGCTTATATTCCTTTCAAAACAAGCCCATTTTTAGTTGATGTAAATACAGTTATACTAGTCCTCAACTCACTCTGGTTTTTAGGTTGTCAAATCAGAGAAAGGCACACTTTTATTAATTTTTTCTTCCAAGTAAGCCCCTGAAAAGTTGCTCACAGGAGGAACTCAGGAATTAGATGTTCTCCTCTCGCCCTCTCCTTCCAACATTTAGTTGGCTAATATACATTGAATAGGAAAATATAAAACAACTTTTCAGAGAGGAGCTGAGAGCCAGGTTACTGGGTGGAGTGGAAAAGCTCTGGACCTGCAATCAGAAGTTCAGGCTGACCCAACACTCACCAAGTGTGCAGCATGGGACAGGTGCTTTAGCTCTGAGACTCAGTGTACCCATCTTTAATTTGGACAATAGGAGCCATTTCCCAGGGTTGTTGCAGAAGGTAGACACACTCCCTAGATATTGACCGTGAATGAGCAGCATGCGTGTGTGACCCGTGGCAAATCTTTGAGTTCTCTGGTTCTCATTTTCTGTTGACCCAACAAAGCTCAATGGTAACCTATGTCCCAGTCTTAGCCTGACCCTTGGAAACCTCACATTGAGAAAGTGGTATGTTAGTTATCAGCAGGAGTGTTGTGATAAAATATTGTGTAAGATAAAATTTCATTTCCTTTTGAAACATGATCCTCAATCAATGGCTAAGAGAGTTTAGTTTGGGGATTGGAATTACGACACTGTGAACTCTAGTGCATAACAGTTAAACAAGCACACCCCACGCTTTCCTGTGAACTTCACTCTCCCTTTCATTCTGCTGAATTATGCTATTTCCATTTCCCAAGTTACCTGAATTTATTCCTGGAGTTATCTAGAAAGTACAATGTCAAAATATCTAATTACAAAACAGGTGAGTTGATTCAGTATGATTTCAAAGAATTCATACAGACATGAGTCACTGCACCCAGACTCAACTAACGTATTTCTAAAAAAGTAGGTATGACTAAAATTAGGCATCAAAATCTTTTAAATGTCTACATTTTAAAATATGAGAGTCAATAGTTTAACCTTTGGAAAGAAAGGAATTTGATGGATCCATCAAATATCGATTGAATATTTGATGACACGGAAGAATTATTGTTAATATTTCATGTGTGATAATGTACTCTGGCAAGTCACTTTAAAAACCTCAGTATCCTCAAATGTAAAATGAGAGTAATAACAGCATTCACCTTAGGTGATTTTTGTAGGATAAAATGAAGAGAAGTTTAGAAGAATGACCAGTGAGTGACTGACATTGAACAAATGCTAGCCCCTTCCATATCCTAGAAAGTTAATGCAGCAACATCTCTTCTTCCAGGTTATAAAACAAAATGCCCCCCACAGAATTAGAATACAGAATTCCAAAAGAAACAAGGGATTAGCATTCTTTGTCTGTTGAAATAATTTGGATCTTCTAGCTACAGTCAAACAAGTCTGAGGCCTAATTTCTGGTTTTGATCAAATGCAGTCTCATAGGCAAAGAGCTGAACAGTGACTTAGCTCCCTACCAGTCCTCCCTATCAGTGACATCCTCTGGTTTCACAGCCAGTTCATGGATTCCCAGAGCCTTCACCCAGCTGGCCTCCAGGCATGCCTTCATTTTAGTCCTTGG